ATATAGGATTTAATATTATTAGTATAGTATACTTTTAAAAATAAATAAAAAATTAATATATTTAAATTTAATTATAAATTTTCATAATTTAATAAAAAAAATAGGTATTTTTCTCAAAAAACGAATGAAAAAAGAAAAAAAAGTTATAAGAATCCAATTTAATTTTTTTTATAAAAATAGAGATAAATAATAAGAGAGAGAAAGAAAAATAAATGGAATATAATAAATAAAAAAATAAGTTTTAATTATACATGTCCATAAAAGATTAAAAGAAAGAAAGATTGAAAAAAAAGTTTTTTTTTTTTGTGAAAGTCTCCCAAAATCTCGTGATTAATGAGAGACAAATTTTAAGATATTATATGAGTACTTTCAGCTTAAAAATTAGTACGTTAGAGACTTTTATAAAAATCTCTAGAAGTCATTAAAATTTGAATACCGTAAGACTTATAGAGACTTCTAAAAAGTTTTAATTGAATACACCGTAACTTTTAAAGACTTTTTAAAAGTCTATAAAAATTTTAATTGAATACGCCATGACTTTTAGAGAGTCTCAAAAAGTCTCAATTGAATATCCCTAAACTTTTTAAATCTCAAAAAGTCATTAAAAGTCTCAATTGAATCCATCCTCCTTAATTAACTCAAATAATACCTTCTAAATGTTATTGTGTAAATAATGGCGTAAGAGAGAGAGAGGCTACAAAATCAACCCCTTCGGCGGAGCATTCGAAGCTCACCAGTCCACTTCCTCGTTTTCATCGGCATCCTTTCCTTCATAACTACCCCCACGCCACCCTATCCCCACCCACTCTTCGTCTCTCTCTGAAGAAGAAGAAATCTTGTTCAGAATTTTATTATTTTCACCTCGCGTTTCACGGTACCGGCTCAATTAGTAGATATAATGTGTAGTGTGAAGATATTGGAATGCTGATTTATCGTCGCATTGCTTTCGTTTTGATTTTGCACGTAATGGGTTTCTGATTTTCTTTTTGTTATTCGTTTAGGAGGACGATTTGATTGGATTAGTCTGAAAATGGATTCTGCAGCCATGACTTTTTGCAATAAATCTATAAGCTCAACTCCCGTAAGTTATCATGCTTTGCCTTTTCAATATTTATTTTCTCAATGAAGATCTTAAATGTGCAGTTACTCTTTTGAATGTCTTATATGAACACTTGGGTATATACTATGCACGAGTAAAATTACAATTTAAAAGGGCATTTTGTCAAATATCCACCATGTATAGAGCTATTTGGATGGCCAGTTCTTAACAAGTGCTGTTTCTGATTTTATCTTGTGAGTTATAAGTACCTCGAGTTGAGGAATTCAAATTACATTGCATTTCTGGTTTTTGACTCTTCAGTTCTGTGATTTTCTCCTCACTAAATAAAGAAAACAAATCTTTTTTTTTTTTTTTTGTAATTATTTGCAAAAAACACGGTGCTTTTGTTTTGGAAAGAAACTATTTTAATACTTGCACGTTAATGAGAAAAAGGCTTGAAGATCACTATTTACGGATTTTGTGGATAAAGTAGGCTTCATTCATCCTCCTTAATTAACTCAAATAATACCTTCTAAATGTTATTGTGTAAATAATGGCGTAAGAGAGAGAGGCTACAAAATCAACCCCTTCGGCGGAGCATTCGAAGCTCACCAGTCCACTTCCTCGTTTTCATCGGCATCCTTTCCTTCATAACTACCCCCCACGCCACCCTACCCCCACCCACTCTTCGTCTCTCTCTGAAGAAGAAGAAATCTTGTTCAGAATTTTATTATTTTCACCTCGCGTTTCACGGTACCGGCTCAATTAGTAGATATAATGTGTAGTGTGAAGATATTGGAATGCTGATTTATCGTCGCATTGCTTTCGTTTTGATTTTGCACGTAATGGGTTTCTGATTTTCTTTTTGTTATTCGTTTAGGAGGACGATTTGATTGGATTAGTCTGAAAATGGATTCTGCAGCCATGACTTTTTGCAATAAATCTATAAGCTCAACTCCCGTAAGTTATCATGCTTTGCCTTTTCAATATTTATTTTCTCAATGAAGATCTTAAATGTGCAGTTACTCTTTTGAATGTCTTATATGAACACTTGGGTATATACTATGCACGAGTAAAATTACAATTTAAAAGGGCATTTTGTCAAATATCCACCATGTATAGAGCTATTTGGATGGCCAGTTCTTAACAAGTGCTGTTTCTGATTTTATCTTGTGAGTTATAAGTACCTCGAGTTGAGGAATTCAAATTACATTGCATTTCTGGTTTTTGACTCTTCAGTTCTGTGATTTTCTCCTCACTAAATAAAGAAAACAAATCTTTTTTTTTTTTTTTTGTAATTATTTGCAAAAAACACTGTGCTTTTGTTTTGGAAAGAAACTATTTTAATACTTGCACGTTAATGAGAAAAAGGCTTGAAGATCACTATTTACGGATTTTGTGGATAAAGTAGGCTTCATTTTTAATATCCTTTTTTGTAGTTTGGTTTCATCGTTATGATTGCCAAAAGTTATTGTCTTTTTCTCAGCTACATAGCTCTCTGAAGTGAACTGCTGTTTGATATGTTGTTTAGGCTGTCAAATTATATTCTGATTACAGAAGGATAATAGTTTATGTAGCATCTAATGAATCCTAATTAACTAATTCTCATTCCTATAAAATTTTTCCAAAGATATGTTATATGTGTTTTGTCACATTAAGAATGTTTGGATACCTTTTTGGTGACTCCAGCTTTCTTTTATTGGTTACTTTATGGTTTCATAATTGGGAGTTAAAAATTCTATTTTACTTTTCTTGGAAGGGTTTATTCATGGGGAGGACTATACAAATTCAAAGCTCCCAGTGTAGCTTTGTCGTAGGAAGTAAGGTTAACTACCCTCGACAGAGAGTTCAGGCTTCTCGTGTTGGTAGATCTAGCAAACGTGGAGGCTCTCTTGCTGCTACATGTGCTAATGATAAAATCCTAGTGGCTAACAGAGGTGAGATTGCTGTTCGTGTGATTCGGACAGCTCATGAGATGGGGATCCCTTGTGTTGCTGTTTACTCAACCATAGATAAAGATGCTCTTCACGTGAAATTGGCTGACGAATCTGTTTGTATTGGAGAAGCGCCAAGCAGTCAATCGTAAGCCATCAAAATTCTTATATGTTTTGTGTTTTTCATTTTTTGGCCATATATAACTAGTAAAAATACAATTGAAATATTTTATACGCAAGTGAACATTATGTAAATATGATTTCAGTTAGCAGTTGAGATCCAGGGCCTAAGTAAATGTTTGAGTGGACTTATTTTTAAAAATAAGCCACATCCACTGGCTTATAAATAACTCCCAAATTAAAGTCATTTAAATTTATCCATGCATGCAAAGTATTCCTGTCGTCTCAACATTTTCCTCCATCCTTCAGTAATTCATAGTGCATCAGATCTGTATTATTAGGTGGCACTAAAGATATTCTCAACAAAATCTGGGATGAAGGGCAAAATATTATCTACCTCATCCCCGCCTGTACTCAAATTGAAGCCGGAGATTGCCAACTTATTTTGGACTTTTTGCACGAAGTCTTCAATATGGTTAATGGTTTTTAGCCTATGTTTGGCTCTTGTTTATAAACTGTTTTTAAACACTCAAGTTATTTTTCATCCATATATTTCGAGGAACCCACATGTATTACCATTCTCCACCACTCATTTCTTTTTATTTATAATTTAAACCGTTTGGAAACACTTCCAATCACGCCTTTAGCACCTCTTATTTGTAGTAACGTCTTGCATATGCATTTTAATAGTCAATACAACTGTTGTATAGTTTCTACTTGATGACAACCCGGCGTGTTTGTATTAAGGAGAAAGTAAGAATCCTCTCTTAAGGCATCATATTTCTTGACCCTTTTTTCAGGTATTTATTGATTCCAAATGTATTATCCGCTGCCATCAGTCGTGGATGTACTATGCTACATCCTGGATATGGTTTCCTTGCTGAGAATGCAGTTTTTGTAGAGATGTGCAGAGAACATGGTATCAACTTTATTGGGCCAAATGTAAGTCCTTTATAACAAAATTTTATGCTGCTACATGTGCTAGCTATTTATTCTTAAATCTTGTCAAAGAGCATGTATGGTATGCTGAGTTCTCTCTGGTTCCAAACTGTATCCACCAGCATGACTGGTAAATTCTATGGCCACATTATACATAGATGTTAGGGTCGGGTAATGGTCAACGGCTTGTAAATGGTCCTTCTTCGTTAGAGACATGATTGATTACGTCATAAATAACTTTCCTTGTATAGGCGTAATTGATTGCTGTCATTTTATATTACCCAATTGTAATTTTGTTTCCTTGTATATTCATGTAAATATCTACAAATAAAGGACGGAAGAAAAGAGGAGATCATTTAGCAAATTGGCATGGTATCAAAGCCCTAATTTTTTTTTTCCGAACCCGTGTTTCTGCTTTGGGTGTTTCCAGAAGCCGTGGTTGGTCGTGATTGTCTCTCATGGTTAGGCCATTGTTGTGTGTGGTTGGTGGCTTGTTTCTCATAGTTGACACTCTATCCATCGGAGTTGGAGTTTCTTGGTATTGCTCTTCTAGTGTTGTTTCCTTTTTTTCTTCGTGAAATCGCATCTGTGTGTGGGGTCAAAGTTTGCCATCATAAGGTGTAAAAGTTTTCGGCGCCATCTGAGTTGGGTCCTAAGGTTTCCGTCGTGAGTTTGCAGCTGGTTTCTGGCGTCGTCTGGTTGCAATCGAAATCGGGAGTGTGTTGTTGGGCTCGCAACCTCACTATGGTTTGATATCACCTTCCTTGGTTATTGGGCTGGTTTATTTCAATTATTGTTGGGTTAATTTTGTTGGAATTGGGCTGTTTTATTTTGTTTATAGTTTGAGCTGATTTTGTTGGATTTTGTGTTATCGTGTTGATTGGATATTAGTTGGGCAGAAGTTATTTGGGCTATAATTAAATTTTGGCTGGACTGTACAAGGTTTAATCGTCACAACTGAAAAGAATGAGACTGTTGGGAAGAATTATTCTTCATGGACATTTCATTTTCAATTATTGGTCGATGGCAAAGGTGATTTGTACGGACATATTGATGGAAGTCTTCTGCCTCTTGATCAAGAGAAAGATAAAGAAAAGTGTTTTGCTTTGAAAACCAAGGATTCTCGACTTATGGCATGGATCATCGGTTTGGTTGATGCGCATATTGTTTTTAATCTTAGACCTTACAATTCATCCCATACTACGTGGGAGTTCTTGAAGAAAGTCTATACTCAAAGTAATAATGCTCGACGACTTCAATTGGAGCTTGAATTGGCGAATTTCTCTCAGGAGTCACGTTCCATTGAAGAATATTATTCAGGATTGTTTAATCTTTGGACCGAGTACACAAATATTATCTATGCTTTGGTTTCAACGAACAGTTTGAAGGCTGTCCAAGCTGTGCACGAAGTCACCAAAAGGGATCAACTTTTTATGAAATTGAGAACTGAATTTGAATCCATCCGGTCCAACTTTATGAATCGCGAGTCTATTCCATCATGGATGGTTGTTTGGGTGAATTACTAAGGGAGGAGCAGCGTTTTATCGCTCGTACCTCTTCGGAACAACAACAAAATCATGCAGCACTGATTTCTATTGCTTATGTGGCTCAAGGAAAACTCAAGCCTTGGGGATATGTCTGGTATGCAGTGTTATAGTTGTAAGGAGTTTGGTCACATAGTTCTTCAGTGTCCCATAAAAAGTTTGCAATTATTGCAAGAAGCCTGTCCATGTTATCAAGGAGTGCCTCACTCGTCCTCCACGCAAGATTGGAGCAAGTTATTTTGCTGTTGCCACTTTAGCCTCTAGTTTTGCTCCGCCTCCTATTCCTGTTCAAGTTTTGTCCTCTCCCAGTCCTTCCCAAATTCCTATAACTCGTTAGATGATTCAACAAATGGTTATCTTTGCTTTGTCTGCTTTGGGTGTCTCAGGTAATCCACCATCTACTCGTTCTTCTTGGTTATTAGACTCAGGTGCCTCTAATCATATAACTCACGATCCTTTGGTGCTTAGTAACCTCAGACCATATGTTGGACCTTTCAATAGACACATTGCAGATGGTAACACTTTACCTATCTCGACCGTGGGGATATATCACCAGATTTGTCTAATGTTCCAGTCTCTCCTAATTTATCAACTAATCTTTTATCTATCGGGCAACTTGTTGATAATAATTGTACTCTCTTTTTCTTCTTCTGGTTATGTGCCAGATCAGGTGTCTAGAAGGACAATCGTAAAGGGGCCTAAGGAGGGGCGTCTCTTTCCTATTTCACCAAAGCCTGTTCCGTTTTCTTCTTTTGTTTGTAATTCTGCAACTTTAAATATTTTTAATTAGCATAAGAAATTGGGACATCCCAATTGGAATGTGCTCCAACACTTGTTCTAGTGTTGTTTCCTTTTTTTCTTCGTGAAATCGCATCTGTGTGTGGGGTCAAAGTTTGCCATCATAAGGTGTAAAAGTTTCCGGCGCCATCTGAGTTGGGTCCTAAGGTTTCCGTCGTGAGTTTGCAGCTGGTTTCTGGCGTCGTCTGGTTGCAATCGAAATCGGGAGTGTGTTGTTGGGCTCGCAACCTCACTATGGTTTGATATCACCTTCCTTGGTTATTGGGCTGGTTTATTTCAATTATTGTTGGGTTAATTTTGTTGGAATTGGGCTGTTTTATTTTGTTTATAGTTTGAGCTGATTTTGTTGGATTTTGTGTTATCGTGTTGATTGGATATTAGTTGGGCAGAAGTTATTTGGGCTATAATTAAATTTTGGCTGGACTGTACAAGGTTTAATCGTCACAACTGAAAAGAATGAGACTGTTGGGAAGAATTATTCTTCATGGACATTTCATTTTCAATTATTGGTCGATGGCAAAGGTGATTTGTACGGACATATTGATGGAAGTCTTCTGCCTCTTGATCAAGAGAAAGATAAAGAAAAGTGTTTTGCTTTGAAAACCAAGGATTCTCGACTTATGGCATGGATCATCGGTTTGGTTGATGCGCATATTGTTTTTAATCTTAGACCTTACAATTCATCCCATACTACGTGGGAGTTCTTGAAGAAAGTCTATACTCAAAGTAATAATGCTCGACGACTTCAATTGGAGCTTGAATTGGCGAATTTCTCTCAGGAGTCACGTTCCATTGAAGAATATTATTCAGGATTGTTTAATCTTTGGACCGAGTACACAAATATTATCTATGCTTTGGTTTCAACGAACAGTTTGAAGGCTGTCCAAGCTGTGCACGAAGTCACCAAAAGGGATCAACTTTTTATGAAATTGAGAACTGAATTTGAATCCATCCGGTCCAACTTTATGAATCGCGAGTCTATTCCATCATGGATGGTTGTTTGGGTGAATTACTAAGGGAGGAGCAGCGTTTTATCGCTCGTACCTCTTCGGAACAACAACAAAATCATGCAGCACTGATTTCTATTGCTTATGTGGCTCAAGGAAAACTCAAGCCTTGGGGATATGTCTGGTATGCAGTGTTATAGTTGTAAGGAGTTTGGTCACATAGTTCTTCAGTGTCCCATAAAAAGTTTGCAATTATTGCAAGAAGCCTGTCCATGTTATCAAGGAGTGCCTCACTCGTCCTCCACGCAAGATTGGAGCAAGTTATTTTGCTGTTGCCACTTTAGCCTCTAGTTTTGCTCCGCCTCCTATTCCTGTTCAAGTTTTGTCCTCTCCCAGTCCTTCCCAAATTCCTATAACTCGTTAGATGATTCAACAAATGGTTATCTTTGCTTTGTCTGCTTTGGGTGTCTCAGGTAATCCACCATCTACTCGTTCTTCTTGGTTATTAGACTCAGGTGCCTCTAATCATATAACTCACGATCCTTTGGTGCTTAGTAACCTCAGACCATATGTTGGACCTTTCAATAGACACATTGCAGATGGTAACACTTTACCTATCTCGACCGTGGGGATATATCACCAGATTTGTCTAATGTTCCAGTCTCTCCTAATTTATCAACTAATCTTTTATCTATCGGGCAACTTGTTGATAATAATTGTACTCTCTTTTTCTTCTTCTGGTTATGTGCCAGATCAGGTGTCTAGAAGGACAATCGTAAAGGGGCCTAAGGAGGGGCGTCTCTTTCCTATTTCACCAAAGCCTGTTCCGTTTTCTTCTTTTGTTTGTAATTCTGCAACTTTAAATATTTTTAATTAGCATAAGAAATTGGGACATCCCAATTGGAATGTGCTCTAACACTTGTTAAACTCGGGTTTGCTTGGTAGTAAAAATGCTGCTTTGGTTATCTCTCTTGATTGTGCTTCATGTAAACTCTAAGTAAAGTTTTACATATTTTCAATATTAATCATAGTGATGTATGAGGTTTTGCACCTGTGGTATCATATGTTCATTATTATAAACACTTTGTTACTTTTATTGATGATTTTAGTCGATTTACATGGATTTATTTTCTTCATGCAAAGAGTGAGATCTTCTCTGCTTTTCAAACATTTCTTGCTCTCACTGACATTCAATTTTGCTCCTCGATTAAAGTCTCAAGATCTAATTCGAAAGGTGAATATATGTCTAGTGTTTTTCAATCTTTCTTACAAACCAAAGGTATTATTTCTCAGCGATCTTGCCATTCTACCCCTGAACAAAACGGGGTGACAGAACACAAGAATCGTTATCTTCTTGATATGGTTCGAACCCTTTTGATTGAGTCTTCTGTTCCCTCTCGTTTTTAGTGTGCTGTTGTGCATCTCATAAATCAATTACCTTCTCTCACTCTTAATATGGCGGACTCAAAAAGGGTATGTTTGTCATGATCCTATATCACAACGAATTCGTGTTTCTCATAATTTTTTTTTT